CTTCACGGATGACAGCAGGGTGAGGTATGTAGTAAGTTCGTCTCCCAGATGGAGTACCAAGATCGACCTTTTCTATGATTTCTTCCTTAAGCTGATAGTCAATCACTTCTTTATATTGCGCATAAAAGTTCAAGTTTGATTTAAATTGATCAGATTTAAGAACAGTCTTTCAGCATTCTTAAAATTGTCTCTTAAAGTCACATTCTGATCTTTCCATGGAAGTCTGACTTCGTATATATCACCCTTTTGTGTAATCGAGTTGTTAAATATTTGCAAAGGCCATTTCATTTTGTTTTCGTCAGAATATTTTTAATTCTATAGATTCAATATTCAAAATGATCGACGCTTTTTAGAAGTTTCTCTTCTACACTTACGTTTAAACACGCATCATGGATTGAAAGTCTGATGAAGAAAAAATTTGCCTTGTATACACCACCCAAAACAAGGTTTCATCGCTACGGCATTTCTGTTTATCCTTTTTATTTCTTCGCTTGCTATTTTCCACATAATGTCCGCGCCGATTAAAACGGAAATATGATTCATTCCATCGGCTGCGCCGCAGTCTCGCCGAATGCTTGGAGTTTGGATTTCATTTCTACATCTGGTACTCGTATATCGGCATTTGTTATGACTGGTACTTCAATGAGATTTATGGATTTTTCAGGGTCATTAATATTTCGGAGCGTAAGTTGAACTTTCTTTTGACGCCAATGTTTCCCGTTCTTTTCACCGAAGGTATGCCAGATTTAAACAGTTTCTCCTTTCACTGGTAACTGTAATTTTCTTGATAAATCTTCTCGAATTGCAGAGATTTGGCTGCCGCCGTCAAGAAGACATCTCACAATACAATTCTTATTTCTGCCCTCAGCCACAGCATACACCATTTGAAGCATATTATTAGATAAAGTTTTGGCAGAAGAATTTTGAACAATTTCTGCCAATGTTTTGGTTTCCTTATTTTTTGCACTGGAGACAGCTGATGCGGGATTCACACACACACTTTCATGATGTTTACTGTGGCACTTTTTGCAGGAAAACTGTGTGTTCTTACAGTTGATAGCTAAATGTTTACATCCAAAACACAGAAAACATTTTCCTGTACGTTTCAAAATGTTGCGTTTCTCATCAGCGTTCCCTCAGTACATTTATATTTCGTATGATCTTCTTGTCACAAAATATACATTCGTATCCAATTGTTGATAAAGCTGAAGCAGTCGGAACTTTCGGTTTATAATTCGGATATATAAACTTTCGTGCGTTGTTCATTTTGACGAAAGTATGGTTTCTGATTAGTTTTAGCAGAGGTTCATTAAACTTGCAGTTCTCGACAGTTAACTTCCTTTTTTAAGAATTCTTTATATCAAATCCTGCTTCCATATTTCGACTACGATTAAATTCCAAATTAATTCCTCTGGAAATTTCTGCAAAATGATAGGACAGAGAATATTTCCATAACTTCCAGAAGTAACGTTTTAACGATTCTAAACTTCGAATGTTGGCTTGCATTCATCGTACAGCTTACGCAGTGCTTTAACATTTGAAATGTTTCCCACTGGTTCAAGGATATAAATTTATTCATATGCGAGGTGATAACAACATCTTGTCTTCCAAAACGTTCTTTCAATATTTCTACTGCGGAATCAAATTCTGGTCACTTAAAGCGAAACCGGAAATGGCAGCTAAAGCATTACCTCCAAGTAAGGATTTTAGGTACGCAAATTTTCAGTTTTTCTCAATCCACTATGATTATGAATTTGTATTTCGAATTGGTTCCAAAAGTCTAACCATTTACACGAATCTCCGTAATAAGTTCCGATTTTGCAGACGTGGCAATTCACGTTTTCGTTTCAACTGGAGTGCAACATTAGCCGTTTCGTTCTTCGATGAAACTGTTCTAGAAGATTCCGAATTCTTCAAAAAATCATTGCATCTCCTCTCCATATAACAGTTTATCCTGGTATTCTTGACTTAAGGTAACTTCATTTCAATCCCTCCAAAAATTACTTTCGTTTCTATTCTGAATCTAAACTTTTCAGTTCATTGATTTTCTCAATTAATGTTCATATAAATCCTGATTATCTCAATTTTCTCATTTAGCGGAATTTATTTCCTAAATTCGTTTCGACTTTGGTTATCAGTTTCGTAGTTTAATTGTCTAACAACCGATCGTTTCTTTTTCAATTTTAAGAACGCCCTCCATTTCCGAAATATTCAGTCTGTCGATTTTCTGGTTCGTTAATAATCCCGGTTTGCAGGCACCATAATCAAATATGTGTAAATCTCTAATAAATCAGACTGGATCGGAGTTAAAGTAATAAACAGAAGAGCGTTCTCCCACACAACATTTATTCACGCACACCAAAGACGAACTGAATACATATACATAATTGACATCACAGTTTCTTTTTACAAACAAACACTACCGCCATCTATTGGCGATCTATGGATACACAATCCTAAACTTAACAGTTCTGCAACACAACTTGAAAAGGATCCCAATTAGATAAATTTGACTTGATATTATTTAATGTATTTGGATTATAAAGTAATTGCAGCATGATTTTAAAATGAAATTAGTATTTAATTCACCATTCTCAATTTTATTAATTTTATTATTTCTGCAACTTTCGTAAAACTGATGAGAATCTCAGTGCGAGAAAGGAAATCTTATTTATCAATGAAAACATACACCTTCAGTGCCATGGGCACAGTTGCCAAACTTGAAATATGAAAAACTGAAGTTTTCATGCTGCGAGGCGGCAGCATTTGGCTCTAGTGTAGAATTGGATGCCCCTTCGATTAGTGACAATTTTGGCAATGAAACTCCATTTCAGGTTACCATGCTAGATTTAACTTTGTTTCAGCTTCCCAATTTTTTTTTTTTTTTTTTTTTTTTTTTTTTTTAAGTAAAAAATAGATTGATGTGCACATGGACACTGAGTTTAAGCAATTCTTTTACTTCTTATTTTGGTTTTCTGTAGCAACCATCTTGAAATTGTGCTATCCAGGCACATATCTTGGAGTCAAAAAAAAATCTCTGTCCCCCCCCAAAAAATATACAAACATGGTGCATCTAATTGTAAACCTTTACCCAACATTTTAAAATAATGCTAAATTAAATTCACTTTACAATACACATGCACAATTCAAATTACTTACATGGTACTCATATATTATCACAATTAACTTGGTGCAGTTTGGCAAATTTTACGGAATAAAGAGAAAATTTTGTTTAAATGTAAAAAATGTATACCACATGGATGCATATTTCACACTTCAACTATATAGTTATTCCAAAAAACAACCGGTAAACTAATCACAAACTGGCTTTTGTTCTAGTTGCGGTAGAAATTACTTTGAGAAAGGATTTGAGGCATTATTTATTTGGAATTAATTTTGAGCAAAATACTGCATTCCTGCAGAATTCTCACTGTTTCTTCTATCATAGGTCATACAAGCCTAAATTTTAAAATAAAGTTTAAGAAGAAGCATAATTTTTCTATAAAAGCTGTGAGAACTTGGGGCACAACAAAAAGAAAACAGGAAAATGCACATGGCTTTCTAGAAAATTATGTGCCTGGTTATCAGATCCTAAATTCTGGCTGATTGTGGCTGAAATGGTTGTGATATGTAAATACTTTAATTGTTGTAATACATTAATATTTAATTAGATATTCTAATTTTTTATTTTCTTTGGGTAATTTCATTTTGTAATTTTGGGATTGTAATTTTTTAAGTTCTTTGGCTAATTTCAGTTAGTAATTTTGTGAAACTAAGAAAATACTGAATACGAAAACTCTGAATTTATCAAAGTACTTTTAAACACATTCAATATTAATTATTCGTACAGTCAAAAGTCCTTAATCCAAACTCGTTGGGACTTCGGCGATTCCGGATTATAGATAGATCATCAGTTTAAATCTGGTAAGATGGCATGCAGAAGTTATAAAATTAAAAATATGAAACTGTAATTTATGAAATAAAGAGTAATTATGATCTAAAGGTTATCAAAATTTACAAAAAAAAGCTTAATATTTGTTTACTTTATTAAACATTTCTTTCAATGCGCGCACGCGTAAAGCATACATTACACATAGTCGAAATTAGAAAATTGCAACCAGAAAACTATTTGATGTGTATTCGCGATATTTACAACGATACGGAATTTGATTTAAATCATATCAAAGCCTGAATACATCGAGAGGAAATACATTTAGTAAAGAATTATAAGCCGAATAAAATAAAAACTGCGCCGAAGATAGTGCTGACAGATCAACTTCCAGTTCATTGTGCGCCGCGACGCAATTTTTACAATTATAATATTTTTTGGATAAAATATACCAAACTGCAGCAAAATGGCTGCATTAACACATTAAGTACATTCAGTTAAAATTTTTGACAATGTCACTGACCAAGTATCTAAATTACTTAATATTAGTTTTATATTAAAATTCACATTTCATTCATTGAAATGAAATCTAAAAACATATGAGCAATGTTTTTAAAAACTACTGAAATTTAGACACATTTAAAGCAAAAAAGTAATCCTTTGATAAATTGAAAAATTTCAAAATTAACCATAAACTATTTACTAAATGTTATAATTCAAAACATTCTTGTGAATAAAAAATATATTGGTAAAAACTTACTGTACCTTCCGATTATGCGCAGCACCCATATTTTAATTCTCCGAAAGCTAGTGCGTTTTCGGCAAAATTTCAAGTGTACATGCAACAATAACCAACCAAAGCATGCACATGTGTTTGAGAACATGAAAATTTACACACTTTAACTTATTTTATTGAATAGGATATAAAAAATGCAAATACTAGTTTTAGAACTTTTTTTCTCATGAAATTTCTTATAAAAAGCTTCTTTTTATAAATAATACCTATAAACTGTAAATATAGCCAAATTTTTATCAATGAGTTCTCGAGTTTTCTTGAGCGTGCTGGTAATCAGAAGGTACAAATTTACATATCTGCAAAAAATATACAAACCTGAAGAACCGAGGTGGAACTCTTTGACAATGACATCATTTTCAAAATATGGATTTTCATCGAAGTAGAACTTAATTCTATAACCTGATTTAATATCTTCAAATTCCTCAACTTCCAATTTGGTCAGAAAATGCAGACATTCTTCTTCTTCTTCATCAAGGATAGCAGAAATTTGGGGATGATTTACAAACTTTTCCAATTAAGAAAAACACAATGAATAAGAACAGATAAAAACAGGAAAGAGATCAAATAAATTATCAGACTTCTACTACCACTGAACTGTTACAATTCTTGAGAAAACTTTTAAAAAATCAAAATTTTTCTTTAAACAGACTTATATTTTTGATAACGGCAAACTGAATCCATGGGAAATGGGTAGAAGGAATGGCAAGACATACTTCATGAAAATATTTTAAATATGATGAAATTCTTAATCTGCAAGAGCTATAACATGCTTATAATTATCATTTACAAAATTTCTGGCTTTTCTTCAGTTGGCAATCCTGAAAAAGCACCAGCAGTTTCCCAAAAACTGTCGTCCTGCAATGTGACGCTACTTTAAAAGAACTCAAAACTGAATATGCAAGACTTAGGTTACTGTCTATACACTATTCTCATGTAAAACATTAGTATTTTTAGATTATAATAAAGTGTAATTTTATGCTTTGTTATATTCCAAATTTTATGCTAACTGGCTATTTCACTTCTTACACTTGAGAAAATCTTAATGGAGAATGAAAGCTTTTACTTTATCAAAATACTTTTAAATATGATAAAAATAAAATAAATAATTAGCATACATACTATAGCGTGAATAAACTTAATGTACTGCATTTTAATGTAAAACAAAATTCAATACAAACATTAATACTAAATACTGATTCAGGATCAATTCAGGATTTACACGCATTTAAACTTGCAATAAAAAATCTAGCATCATTTATAGTTTTGCAGTTTTTATATTTTATAAGTTTATTTTTAACATTTAACATTAAAAGATAAGTTTCTTGATTTCATTCTAATACATAATTTTAAAAGTTCATTAAAAAATATCTGTTCATCCTCTTCTAATAAAATGATAGAACAGCATTACACATTTTTCTGGGATTTTTTATATTTTTTTAACTAGCAGCATGTGCAGCATTTTTGGTTTGCATAGTGTAATTTGTCAGATCATATAATGAATGACAGTCATTACAATGACGAAAACTAGCCCATATAAAATGAGTCTTATAAATAAGTAATTTAAACAGCAATATGGAATTTTTGGTACTTTTCCGTTTTGCCGGCGCAGGCGATAAAATCGCCAATAATGGTACAACGGAATATCCTCTATTCCAAACTAAGATTTAACTTTAAATTAATGTAGATAATTACTGAGAGAATTAAATTTTTGTAGCGTAGTTTACTTGAGATGAGATTACTTGGGGTCACGCAATATGAACCGGCAAATCAGGATGTTGTACCATGAAAGCATAGTAAATTCTTGAAAATTCTTTGTCTTTATTTATTGGCTTTTTTACAAATTTTAAACGACATTAAAATGTTTATACTTTCAAAACAAAAAATTCTTAGAACTAACATTTGTCAACATTATGTGTACGCCGTGTGTTGTCACCAATAAAGTCTGTTTGGCAAGATTTGCGCCAGCAAAACGGAAAAGTACCTGAATTTTTATGCAACATATTGATTTCCATAGCAATTAAACAGAAATGCAAGAAAGCAATGCATTATGTTTCTTAAATTAACAGAAACCTTAGTTAAAATGAAAACTACATTTCTTTCATGCAACATATTGATTTTCATAGCAATTAAACAGAAATGCAAGAAAGTAATGCATTAAGTTTCTTAAATTAACAAAAACCTTAGTTAAAATGCAAACATTTCTTTCATGAATTTGTGGATTAAGTTCTAAATTTCTTATCTGTAATTAATTTTCAGAAGCATGTTGCTTACAAATAAAAATGGAATAATTTCATTTTAAAATAACAAATTTTTATACCGTTACATATATGTAAGCAGTTATTTATAAGTCTTTGGATTATCTTTTAGGAGTGAAAGGAAATTATGAAACTTAATAAAAAGGTGAACTTTATGCTAGTGTAATAAAAAAGTAAATTTATCAAAATGGTAAAAAATGAAACTGATATACATACATGTGTGTGCATATGTTATGTAGCTGCAGATTCACACAATTTAGTTCTGAACAAACATTTTTGAGAGACATATTCCGAGTCACACATCATCAATCTGCATCCAATACATGAAAGTTTGTTATGTCTTTAGATATAAAATGGATGGCAAAGGAAACTGAGCCACAAAGTCTTAGCTGAGGGCAAGCAAGTAGGAAAGCATAACACATGGGAAAAAAAAGATGACAGCTTGGAAGAGCTAAACCCATAAAGCACTGCTAGTCAATTACTTTTTTCTTGACAGGTGGAAAAATTGGCTACATGAGGTTTTTTAAATTTTTTCCCCAAGCATAACCAACTTTTCTAAGAAAACCTCCATAAAGACATCCTTTTCCATGGTTACACAGATTTAGCATTGACTGTCATAATCCCAATCCAAATCATTTTTACTTCCATTCAGTTTTTAAGGCGTGCATAAGGATTTTCTTAAATACCTCCATGAAAATATCCCTCCCAAAAGGCAGCTATCAATACTTTGGACCTATGTAGACCTTCTAACATTGCTTAAGATCATTTATCTCTTCCTTTCCACAACTTGAAAAATAAATATACACATTTATCTAGATAGATTTAGATAATGTTTAATGCATTACAAATGTAGCAGTGCCAAATGATAACAAAATTTTAAAAAAAAGTAGCGTTTTATATTCATAAGTAAATTCTTAATAGCGTAATAGAAGGCTGACTGCACTCTACCCGAAACTGAAATTCTCCTTTTAAGGGACAATAAATAACCCCCTAGTTGAGAACAACTGTGCTATAAACTCTCCTAAAGCATTATAAATTAAATTTATGGCCAATTTAAATCACACACACACACACACCCACACACCAAAAAAAAAAAAAAAAAAAACATTCACAGAGAAAATTTAGCATAATCATGTATTTAAATACTTGTTCTGATATAACATTTAACTTAACGGCTAGAATCCACTCGGGAAAATTTTCAATGGGATAATATTCTGAAAAGCAGTTTTAGGGGAGGAAGGCTTTTTCCAAAGCCACACAAATTTAAAATGGAAAAAAAGTACAGAGTATATTATTGATTATCCACACACGTGCACAGTCGAAGACATTGTTTTGGTTGATTATTGGGATTATTTTTATTTACATGCATTTTTGTAATTTAAAAAATTAATTTAAAATTTTAAAACCTGAAAAATAAATAAAGAATCTGCCATAAATAACACGCATAAGATTTATGGCAAAAAAACTCAAAATATCAATTAGGAAAAAACATCAAGGAACAGTTCAATGGCAATTCGACCGAGCGTTCAATGCTTGAGTGATGCAGATATTTTAAATGACTCATGAACACAGCCAAATAATGATGCTGAAAATACAAAAGATATTGACAATTAGTTACATTAGTCCCGAGATAGCACCAACTTTTGTTGAAACTGTTTCAAAACTTTAAATTCTGTAGAGCAAAGGCAATTTAAATAGAGCCACAAAATAGAAAATTACACAATAAAACTCGACATATATTTAAATGTTCTCAAAAACAAAATAAAATTAGGTTTAAAAAAATAACCACACATAACATGCATGATATTTTTTTTAAACCAAAGGCAGGCCCCTCAGCTGACTTCGGCTTGGCCGCTACGAAGGCCAGAAGTGGTTATCACTTTATTATGGAGGCACTTAACATTTCACTGTTTAAAATGCATGTTATTTTAAATTGTCAGTTAACATAACACCGATTCTTAAACAGTATAAGGGTAATTCCACATTAAAAGCTACAGAACACTTATGCTTTGTAGCAACACAACAAAATATTTATCCATTTTTTTAATTTGAAGCCTTCCCAGACATTTTGAATTAATTTATATCAATTTTCTTCTTTTTAAGCATCCTTTCTAACAATGAAAAATCTGTTTCAATACACAAACTAATGTTCCCACTAGTTTCTGTGTGCTCTATTTCCTAATTTGCCAGTCTACGTAATGAGGTTTTACTTGATCTGATAAAAGTTAAATAGTCCAAAACCTCTTATAGACATAAAGCAAATTATCACTATGTCTGAAAGTAAGTCAGATAAAGCTTTAAATAAACCTTTTATTTAAAAAAAAAAATTGGAACATACAGGCACGTTACTATGTAGACAAAATTAACTACAGCTTGTGGTGATGCAATTAAACAGGAACAGTTTAAGTTCAAATGTAAAATTTATCTCGAAATAAATTAGTAGCCAAAGTATACACAAATTAATTTCATGCAAAGTTGGCTCAAAACTTAACCAGCATGAATTTCAGCTGTCGGCAATTATAATGGAAGACTGAAGACTACAATTCTTATCTCATGTAGCAATGGATTAACGTGGCCTCGAGAGGCAAAACACACAATTTTAAAAATTAAAGACCTCGTCTTAAAACATGAAGTTTGCATTCCGGTTCCAAACATAAAATAACTCTGATAACAAAATAAAGGAACCTTACATTACACATTGTTCCCTGATTATTTATTCACTACATGAAATTATGCAATACATTTTTGGGTTGATCTTTACAATATAGTAACTGGTAGTTTGGCAACATTTTGGAGGTGATAAAGGTTACTACCTGGCACTTTGGTAATAATGTGAGCAGTACTCAGTTCCGATTACGCATTATTTTGTGTGAGGGAAATGAGAGATCATGGGATATGTCATGTGATATTAATGGACGAATTACGGTTCTTTAATCGGAAAAGGGGGGAAATCGGGAAAAAATATGGAAATTTTGTATTTGGCTTTATTCTGTGTTGTGTGAAACAGTGTTCGCGAATTTTTGGATCCCATGGCTGTAACTAAAGTGAATTCGAAATGGGTATTTATGTATGTATTAATTTAATGTATGTGCTCATTTATATTTTAAGTAGTGTTTTTGAATTTAATTATATTTTAATTAAATGATAGTTATTTTGTGAATTTTATGTTTGTAGGAATTTGGTATACGTTTTAGTTGAAGTAACGTGCATGGAAATAATTTAAATATCTGACACTTAAGTATTTGTAATGGTTGCGGTATATGAATTCGTTGGTGACGTGTATAATGTAATAGATGATTTAGAGGTAAAAGTTTTTTGGATATTTTATTTATTTTATATGTGGAAATGTTCATTACTTTTTTCGCGATCAGGTAATTTCACATATATGTTCTTTTTACCGGGTTTAAAGATTGAGAAAATTGTCATGTATTTTCGTGAAATTTTTCTAATTTATGAGAAAAAAGCAGTGTACATGGATATAGTGAAGAGTGTGCGCAATGCCATTTTTGGGCAATTCTGGGATTTTTTTTAAGTAAAAATAAGTCGGCGTGTACATGGTTTAGTGATATTTTAATTAAATGATAGTTATTTTGTGAATTTTATGTTTGTAAGAATTTGGTATACGTTTAAGTTGAAGTAAACGTGCATGGAAATAATTTAAATATTTGATACTAAGTATTTGTAAGTACTTGCGGTATGAATTCGTTGGTGACGCGTATAATGTAATAGATGATTTAGAGGTAAAAGTTTTTGGATATGTTCTTTTTACCGGGTTTAAAGATTGAGAAAATTGTCATGTATTTTTGTGAAATTTTTCTAATTTATGAGAAAAAAGCAGTGTACATGGATATAGTGAAGAGTGTGCGCAATGCCATTTTCGTGCAATTCTGGGATGTTTTTTTAAGTAAAAATAAGTGGACGTGTACATGGTTTAGTGATATTTTAATTAAATGATAGTTATTTTGTGAATTTTATGTTTGTAGGAATTTGGTATACGTTTTAGTTGAAGTAAACGCGCATGGAAATAATTTAAATATTTGATACTAAGTATTTGTAATGCTTGCGGTATGAATTCGTTGGTGACGTGTATAATGTAATAGATGATTTAGAGGTAAAAGTTTTTGGATATTTTATTTATTTCATATGTGGAAATGTTCATATTTGGAAAGGGTAAATACTTTTTCGCGATCAGGTAATTTCATATATGTTCTTTCTACCGGGTTTAAAGATTGAGAAAATTGCCATGTATTTTCGTGAAATTTTTTCTAATTTATGAGAAAAAAAGCAGTGTCCATGGATATAGTGAAGAGTGTGCGCAATGCCATTTTTGTGCAATTCTGGGATGTTTTTTTTAAGTAAAAATAAGTCGGCGTGTACATGGTTTATGTGTATGTGTTATTTTGAAAAACGCGTAAGGAGTATGTATTGTGCACTTTTTCCCAATTTTGCAGTGAATATTTGTCATGATTAAGCAGTTTTGTTTGATAAAATTTCTAGCATAAGTGTAATTCGGCTAGTAGATTGTTGGAAGAAGTGTTCAGTAGATAAAAAGAAAAGAAACATGTCTTTACTTCGTGAAGACAAAATGGCGGCGGGGAAAAAAAATAGAGGGTTGCTGTAGGAGAGTTGGTTGCCAAATTTTCGCCAAAAAATCGCCAGGTTACCATAATGTAAAGATCAACCTATTTTTGTTTGCATCATATACAAATTTTTTATTTTACTTAAATGCTCTCCAAAACTGAACAGGATTTTGCAAACGTACTAATTATATTTTAACTCTCTTCTTCACTTCAGAAATAAGATTTATTTTCTAAGATATTGATTAATTTCATGTGTTAAGAAATATCTCTCAATTGCCACTGGCAAAACTTTTAAATGAAAAAAGGTAACTACAATTATTATTATAACAACTTTAAACGACTGCTATATAAAGCTTTCATATGAAAATGATGTAGATAGCTACATCAATGAAAGACCTGGATTTTGAAAAATCAAACACATGAGCAGTAAATAAGGCTGCAAGGAGCTGGAATGTAAATAACATCGAAATCACATGTTTGGAAAGTTAAACACGAGAAAACCTGCCAAAAAATCTGCATGAAATACCTTTCAGATAATAAGTGCACCAGAAAATGGATAAAATGATAACATAAAAATGGAATTACAAATTAATAAATAGTCAGGAGAATAGAATGTACCCACAAAGAGATAAATTATGCTAGTATTTAAATAACTTTCAGAATCTAGTGTTAAAAAGCTAGGGAGGGGGGAAAAACCTGTCAGAAAGTCTTATACTTCTATTCACATTAATTTTTTAATTACTCACACTGAATCAAAATGGCACAGTGAAGTTTGCTGGCTGATGGGAAAAAAATGCATTTCTTTAGAAGAATGACATTTCATTCAAATAGAGAAAAGTAAAAATTCATACCTTATATCAAGGCATACTTCTCAAAAACCAAATTTTATGCAAATGCAAAGTGAGATGTTAGAATGCGTCAGAAACTGGCTTAAAGATAGCAGACTTTGACAGTTGTTTGCTTTACTGCTGGACAAAAGAATATACTTCAGTGAAATTGTGAAGATCTAGGATTATTATCGAACAATACTATTGACTAGTAAATTACCTTAAAAAAGTGTGCAAGTCTTCTACGCATAAAGAATTCAGACATAAGGATACTCAAAGGCACCAGAATCGTGATTTTTTCAGGGGTGCAGAAAATAAAAAATGCCAAAATGCTTTCCCATTTAAATTTAAAAAAGACAATAAGTTCTTTTACCATAAAAATTACAAATATGGTAAGACAGCTCAAAGCAAAAAAAAAAAAAAAAAAAAAGAGCAGTTCATTTTCTAATATTTTGTTAGAAAAAAGAATACATAAAGTTTCTTCACATAATTTGTTGCAACACACTAAACGGAAGATATACCACAGCGCTTGTGGCACTGCTGTCCAGATACATGTTCTATTATGTTATTTATAAACATACTAGTATACAAATATAAAACTATAAATTAGAATGTTCAGCTCATATTCTGAAAAATAGCTTTTCAGATGTTTTCTTATTCACGAATTAGTGTTTGTCTGTTATCAGGACTGAATTCAGAAATGCACGTGTATGAGTGTGCTTATATACACACTTACAAACACATTTCTGAATCTTATCCTGATAAAAGATACTAGAATTACTTCACAAGCTTACAATTTCACAAACACCTTTTAGCTGCAAGAATATTTTTTTATCAGTAAAAATGTAAATCAATACAATGTACAAAATTAATGGTATATTAATAAAAAAATTCAAATTAGCAACTTTCATATACTTATACAATATTCAAATTGGCAACTTCTACATGCTTACGTATATACTTACACTAAAAATAACACTTCATTCTAATTTAAAATGCTTTAATAAAATATCACTAAAATAATGATGTTTTAAAGTAGGAACATACTATAAGCCTATAACTTCAACAGAAGACCCAAGGATTAATTTTATCCTCGGGATGTGCAATATTATGCACCTACTAATTTAAAGACATATTATTTATAAAACTTATACATCTGTGGGATTCCTTTTAGTGTTAAAATACCAAACTAATTTTTATAACGCTAAATGTTACAAATAAAAGTTTAAAATGAACACTAGACTAGTATTTTTAAAATTGCTTCATTACGAAAATCCGTAGTTTGAACAACGAACTTGAAAATAATATCTTATGTAAATAAACAAAATATTCATTATGTATTAAAACCGAAGAGATCAGTTGCCGGCATAACTGCATGAACTATTTCAATAATATTTAGCTTTTGGAATAACAAGAGATAGGAAAAATACCCATTTAATACTAATCCTTAAATAATTGCCTATATATGTGAAAATAAGCTTTATTAATATACACCATACTTACATACAGATATACTATATTCTTTAGGCCTACTAAAGCATAATTCCACTATTCTATAAATCGGATACTAATTTTAACTTTTTAAAATTCAATAAATTTATCTCTTATAAATTTAAATAATAAATATTCTACATGTCAATGTATGATTATTCATATTCTTTTACTGCATCATTTAAACTCCCGCTTTTTTCTCGCGCCGGTAACACTAGTCAGCAAGATAAGTTTTTCGATGCGCAAAACAATGCATGTTCATGATGGCGCATTTTCTGTAGCCAACATATTAAGGAATGAAAACTATGAAAACAGAACATATTCCAGTATACATTTAAAAAAAAAAAAAAAAAAAAAAAAAAGATCACTACCGGCAATACTCCCGCGCAAAACTATAATCACAGAACAAAGCATGTGGCCATACTTGCCGCCGCACTTTAACCTAAGTTAGGCCTAATACAATCGACAACCATGTTTTATCACTGGTACGTACCTTAAGCAGCTAACAACAAAATGGTACAAAAGGATACAGCGGTCACCCAAAAGTTAGGTATCTTTCGAATCAGCTCATTCCGCTTTTCGAAGTATGGTTTCCTTAATTTGTTGTACTTCTGCTCAACTTTAAGGATTTCTTCACTTGCTTTTTCATTCAAAGCGTCGATTTCATTCTGACAAGCGTCGATTTCTTCTAATGCTTTTTGTGTTTCTGCATCATAATCTCGGCTTTCTTCACCATCTCCCACTTCCACTTTCTTCATCTTTTTTGGAGTAGCTCCACTCGCAGACATTGCAAAATTTTGATACACTGAAACAACAATGAATAATGAAATTCGCAATAAAACTACACGACACAATCCACAACGTCCAAGACCAAGAGATTAATTTCGCCGACCACAAGCTTCCAAGTGTTCCCGCATGCGCAGAGCTTCTCGAGAGCAAACTTGCATTTCAGGTGAAAGGAGTCAGGTGATTGGTCAAACTCATCTAATCAGCCAATAGAAACGTGCGCTGCTTCGCTAGGACCAATAACGTATTTTCTTTTATGATCACAAGCCACAGTATTCCAATAGCGCCAAAGTGTTCCAGATTAAAGGAGGAATCGCTAATATTTTAGTTCAGAACTTGAAGATACTCTTCTACAACATTAAATTAAACAGTATTTAAAATTAAAGGCTTTTAATGTTAAATTTGTTTAATATTAAATATATATCTATATATAAATCTCTATTATCTTTTATAACGGAAGCCATAAAATCTAACATGCTGAAAATTAGAATAAAGAGCATATTACCTGTTAAATTCATATTACCAAGCAAATCATAAAATACGTAAACGTTTTTCAAGCATTTTGGCAGCAGATGAAATTTTAAGCTGTATGGCTCTTCTTTATTTCATGTTACTGAAATATGTGTAACTTTTAAGTAAAATTTTCATTAAACACATATACTTATGATGTCAAAAACATTTTTCGAACTAGGGCTTCTTGTAATACAAGTACTACCATATTCATCTGTCTGGTACTTGTACTTGTAATCAACTTAATTTCACCGGCATCTAGCCTCCTAATATACGGAGTGCTAAATTTTCTACAACTTGGCCATTGAAATTTGGCGACTGATTCCCTATCGCCTTGGTAACCCTGAGTCAAAACAGAAAATGGCTTCATGTAAGATGAGTGTTGATGAGTCGGAGGAAAATAAGTGCGATGAGAAAAATAGTGACGCACTTTATTCTAAGTCAGATCAAGAACTAAAGAATGTATCGTTTATTAAAAGTGTTGTTCTGTCTCCTCATGGCCACCTGAAGAAAAGAACGGAACATTGCTTTCGTAATTTACCAGGTCTGCCTGCGGCTGAAGATCTCCATAACAAGGGTAACGTCAATGCGTGTTGTATAGTTCCAAATTCAAATGATAAACAAAAATATTTTCCTAAAAGATCTAAAGTAATGAATGTTATTGTTAGTAACAGTAATGATTATTAGTATAGGCAATTTAATTGTCAACGTAATATGTTAAATTCTAAAAAAAAGCTTAATATTCTGTAAAGCAGAGCCTAATCACACATTAGTTAAAAGGGTTTCTGAGCAATCTGTTGATGATAAACACAAATATGACCATGTGCAAGGAAAGGAAGCTTTTTCAGATATCGTATAACGGAATCAAAATGTATTTAATACGGCTATTAAGAATTCTCATTAGTCTGTCAGCTGTGTTGGAATACATTTTCGTCTCATGTCATGATTACTCGGCGGAGGGTTCAAAGCTGCACGTTGGTCAGTATGCTGCAACACAGCGAAAGGGTACTGCACTTGTAAGCGTGTCACCGTTTTCTGTTTTCTTCCTCCATTATTTTTCTTCACTTGCATGTGAAGTAAATTAATAGTTCACACGAAATTATCCATAGCTGTGATAACTGTGTTAATCTCCACATTTAATAAATTACTATAAATGAATTCGTGATCGATTTTTTTCTTTCTATCATAAATAATTTTGAATAACCATAAAACGCGAAATAGTGTCTTTTATTTGGGAGTGAGCAGTATCACTAATCAGCTTTGCATGTTATTGATATGATATAAAAGTTCTCCCTCTGTCTTTAATTAATTCTAATAGGTGAATATTCGGCCTTAAAATATTGTTATCAAATTACTTCCTTTATCTTTATGATTTAAGATTTTGGAAATGATAGTTCTATGGAAAGAACATTTTCAATTGCATATATTAAAGGTACTAATTTTTAATTTGAATAATTTAGTTAATGATATATGTTAGGAACTCAATTTATAGTTGTGCGTTTCCTTTTACAAAATAATCATTCAGTGCTTTATAGAGAATTCTAATTTTATCCTAATTTGATTTACATATATTATGTTACTTCAGTTTGAAGCTGTCAGGATGTCAATAAAAGTTTAATTTATGAAAACATATTAGAAGTAATATCTGAGTATAATTTGCAGTCTAATCTTTATGTATTCAATAATTATCTTAATGGCAAGGTATTTGTGGGAAATTTCAGAAACTAGAAAGTTCACACCATTAATGTTATTATTGTTAGTCATAAAATTTTCAAAAGTAGTCTCTAGGTATTTTCACTATAACAATGTAAATGATGTTATAAATAGTAAAATTTTTTTATTTGCAAACAGATGGTTTGTATATTAATATAACATTGATAAAAGAATGATGAAGACATTTTTCCAAAAAGCAAAAATTATCAGAATTTAGCCTCATTTGTTTTGTATAAAATACTAATGAAAGAAGATTATTAAGCATGAAGGGTAATATTTTTGAAAATATTCTAATTGTTAAATTAATCTAAAGTAAAACATATCCCTTTGCTGTTGTAAAACTCTTGATTTAAACTTCATTTAAATTTTTGCTGGCAAGAAACGTATGTTTATCAGTAACTAAAAAAAATACAAGTTGAAAATAGTCCAATGTAAATATGGTCACTTCAGTTCTAAAATCTGATTTATGGTTTAAAAATGAGATAATATATTTGTTCTATATCAGGCATACCCAACTTGATAGTGTTTTAGAGACAGACCCATTGAATTCTTCTTGAAGAAAAGAGGCACTTATCTTTGAACCTTAAAAGTAGTCAGTTTTAGCTATACTAAGTATGGAGTGGTATTGCAAATGCTCATGTAAAAGATTCATGAAAGTCAATAAAAAAATTAAATTCTCTAAGCGGACTTTGTGAGTGTAGATGATTCATATTTTTGTTTCTTGAGAAGGCTTCAGTGAAAACTTAGATCTATAAGATTAACTAAGAAATCTATTACATAAATGCATTTAAAAAAGAAAAAAAATAAAGGTACTTAAACATTAAAAAAAGTTTTACTAATCAGTGAAGTGCTTTTATTTTGCAGTAGTCTGACACCTTAATTACCTGTTAGTTCCAAAAATTGTTTGTCCCAGATCTGAATCATCCATTTTAAAAATTCTGCTTATATACTCAAGTTATCATCTTCACTTGCTCGTTTAAAGTGATTATCAAGTATAAATACTTAATAACATTATATTATGGCCATCTTCACACTGCCTTTTTAGTAGTATGACCTCATACTACTGAAAATAATGGCAGCATCTTCCTTCATTCATGATCATATTTCTTGGATTATGTTTTTTAACCTAATGAAGTCCAGTTAGATGTTTCTTTTCATTTCACATGAAATTCCTAATTAATATGAACCCTAAATATATAGGTTATGCAGTGATTGTGCAAAATTCTGAATTACTGAAACAATTATGATACGTAAAATTTCATATCAACATTTAAACCAGTTGAATGTTACATAAGTACCAATGAAAAGGTAAAAATTCACTTTAATCACTTGTGGGATTAATTTTAATTATGTATTCAGGCTCAAGGTTGCATTATTGACTGCATTCAGCCCATGTCCCGTGTGTATTGTTAGGCTTGTTCTCAGCAGTTTCCATATGGAGGTTAAAATGAAATTTTGCATAGCAGAAATTTAAATACAAGTTATCAGAATTCTTTTAACCTGCCGACTGGCCAAGGGTTTGGCTTTGAAATCCCTAATTTCTCAAAACTGCATTGAAAAAGTGGTATTCTTGACAAACATTATACCTTTATATTCAGGTTTTTTTTTTTTTTTTTTTTTTTTTTTTTTAAAGTAAAAACTTTAATACTTACATATTTAGCCTTAATTTCTTCGAAATGTAGATGTATGCATATACTTATAGGCACTGCAAAAGAAATTGTAGGACATATATAAACAGCCTGGCCAGCTGAAGAGTTATTTTATCATAACTATTTTTAAGAAAATTTCAGGTTTTTTTTTTTTTTTTTTCCACAGTTCATATTAGACCAATAGTTTTCAAATAGTTTTCAAATTTGTTCTGGAATGCATAAGTGCCAGTGACCACTCATCATGATATTTTGATGCTTTATTATAGTTCAATTTGTCCTACCAGAAGAAAGGAAAAGCAGCTGACCATTGTGTCGTGAGTCGGGAAAATTTGAAGTGAAGAGAAATTTGTGCAGCATTATGGCAGGGAAAAGAATACTGTAAAAAATTTAAATACTGAAAAACCCTTCCCCCCTCCCACGAAAGGACGCGTTAAATAGAGTGAAGTACTGAAAATTAGTATTTACAGTACATAAATGTAGCAAACAAGGGAGAAATTGTAACCCACTATGTTTTATCAGAATCTGTTCTTGTTTGTCATGATTAATTACGAATAATTAACCATTAACTACCGATACCCAGTTTTCTGACATTAATATTAATGCTAAAAAAATTATTCTTCAGTCTAAAATTTAAAAAAAAAATTATAATGAAATTATTTTTTGATATTGAAATAATTTGTATACCTTAAGCAATTAATTACTTACAAGTTAGTGTAAAAAAATTTGCTCTAAATCATATCATAATTCTGACACCACTAACTTGCTTCTGTCTGTCAATCCTATCTGTACGTCTGTTTTGGTGAGTTTCCTTCTTAATGTATCTTTGTCCATTTAATTTTTAGAGCAAAATCTATAAATCATAAGTAAAGGTTTTTATAAATTAAGTACTATCCAGGTATTGCTGTGCTAGATGATATGTCTATCTGTAAATGCAGGGCAAAAATGTATCGCCAAGAAGCTGTGTAAGATTTATTGCACAATTGGCAACTTTTCTTGTGACCTCTTCAGTTGAAAAGATAATTATTTTAGCCAGACACTGCTCTTGGCCATATTTGGGTTTAGGCAGTGAGGATCTCAATAATTATATAATTAATGTCATATAAATACTATTCTCACTCTTAACTAGTGTGCTTTTCCATTACAACATGTGAATATTCCTTTGGAACCCTAGCTTAAACAAGTGACCATCCCTTCCCTGTTAAAATATTATCTGATAAAATGAATGTTTTGATCATAGTAGTGCTTATAACTAGGTTAATGAATGGCAACCTTCCCACTGTACACTTTTTACTCGAAGGTTAATATATTTAAATTTCTTAATATTAATCTGTGCACTATGGGATTTTTTTCTCACATATCTGATTTCTGCTTAGGGGCAGTTAGTCGTATGTTTCTAGCTTTTGTTTATATACAAATCCTAAATAAACAATTTTCATAAATTTCAATTTTAATTTCAAAATTGCATGACAGCATGTGCCATGGCAGTTTTCATGGATTTTTACATCTGTGACAGGAATATGAGCCAGTTTCCCTTAAAAAGGCTTTCATCACTACTAACAGGCGGATAGCCCACATGTGTTCTGCTGTAATCCCAATCAAGTTAAAAGTGCATAGGTAGTTTTTAGATTTTCTGAAGGCCTGACGGTCTCTATGGTGCTGCTCAGACTAAAAGATGTGCATATATCATAATCTGGATTGGGTCAACTCGATTTTATGCTTCACTGAATCTCAAGTCACTCTATGTGGAATTATAGCATTCACTTGTATGTACTGTCATGGCTTTAGTTAGCACATCTACTTATTAAAAAATCCATTGAATCTGAGTGAAGGCATTTTTTTTTTTGTTGTTGTTGTTATTGTTGTTTGTTTGTTTATTGTTCCCAAATAATGATCTCTTCAAAAAGTTAATGAACAGCCATACAGTTATTGATTTGTATTAATCAGTTTTTTAATTAATTTATTTTAAACTCATACTTAGTATAATTCAATTCACTTGTTACATACATATATCAACATTTCTGGCTAAGTTCCCAGCACAGTTTATTTAAAAGTTCTTAATTTTCCATACTTTTCAAATGGTAATGTTATTTATGTGTTAAAAATAATAAATATGAAATCTTGGGAATGGTGATATTTATTTATGTCTAACAGAATTTTTGTTGTAGTAGTAAGTTAGTTGTTACATGTGCCATCACATAAATTAGGATACACCGTT